AGACTGTCCAATGTCTGGAATTATATAAATATATAATAGAATATTTAGCGAGCATTTATTAGGTTAGCATTGTAAGTAATGTTAATTCGTGAAAGAGTTGTTCAGAAGAGCAATAAAATGACACAGAAATACAACAACGTGTTATTCATGTGAGCGGACACATTTAAAATTTGGTGTTCTTTTGGCACACAGAGTCTCAATGTGAATCGCTGGGATCAAAAATTTTTAAATTTTTTTGTTTTCTAAAATTAATTAAATTTTAGGGGGAAAATTTGGGAAAATAAAATTTGGGAATTTAAAAAAACGACAACCCAAAAAATGAAAATAAATTTTATGGGGGAAGGGAAGGGGCCGCAAAAAGAACCTCTCCCCCAACAATGGGCAACATAAAACCCCAAAAGCCCAAGGGAAACAAACACAAGCGGGCCCATCGAACGGGAAATCCCCTTGCTTATTAAATATTCTTTAAAACAACTCCCTGTACACAACCGAGTATCACAAAAATAAAAGACGGCCATAAATTTTTTTATTCCCTCATTTTTTTGGGATTCAAAGATAAATCTGTTTAAAAACGACCGCACCTGTAAATACGTTGATACATATTGTAAATTATATTTACTTGACATTGCCATACACTTAACTATACATATAACATGTACCAACTTAACAAATAAAATCAACTGCTGAATGTAGATCAAAATGACATTTTTTGTATTTACTTCATGTTATTCATTAAAATGTTTTGTCTTTTATGACACATGGTAACCCCTAACTAAAAATACTAGAAAAAGCCAACGTTACTAATAAATTGATGTTTTATTCTAATAATAAATTACGAAAGTATATATCCTCGGAAGTAAGAAATACTGCTATTAAATGTTCGTGTATACATGCATTTGCATCTTAATTTTGCATATTGGTTTTTCAAACAACTTATTTCCGCAGAGTAATTGCTAACTGCAGGACAGTTATTGATTACCATCCATTTTCTTAATTTGAGGTTGCCAAAATACTGTATAGAACGTGCAACCAAAAGCAATGAATCTGCCCTAACGGAATTTATTTGCGTTTTCAAATTTAAAAGAAGATGTTCGCGATAATGCTGACTGTTTCAAGATTGAACGTTTTAATGTTTCACTTTAAAATATAAACTTTCTTCCTTAAATGAAGGTGCTGGCTAAGAATACTTTAAAAGTAATTCTAGTTTATATTTACTAACATACTTCAAACCTGATAAAGAATGAAACATTCCGTTGCAATTTATAGTGATTTATTCTATAATTTGAGTCCAATTCCCAAAGGGATTATACGATTGATTCCGATGGTACAGAAAACTGACAACGTATTCACAGCTGTATGTACTGTTGAAACGAATCATTTGTAGCTTAAATTGAAATGGATATACTTAAAAAGTGAATGAAAAAGCATGACTAAAAATGTAGATAAAGTACGAGGTATGATCAAAAAGTTCTCGGCCCGATATACTTCTAGCCACTACACTGGCATTTACACACGATACGTCGACACCGATTACTGACCGAGTTTTACACAGATTAAGTAACATAAAACACACTTTGATCAGTAGAGGTGTGTGTCATTTAGACCAAATGGAGAAAGTTGAAATCATTAAGTACATCTGTTAGAAAGGGATGTCCCCCAAGTAAATCCAAGAAATCTTAATGGATACACTTGGGAAGGCTGCTGAATTTTAGAGGGGCAGGGTGAGAATTGGAGATGATGAGCGGCCTGGGCGGCCACCAACGATGAAACTGCCGAAGCTGTGCAAGATCTGATCATGTGCGACATAGGCGAAGCATTGCTAGGGTAGTGATTAAAGCTTTGGTTCAGATCAGGCAATTCTGACTGATGTCAAAGGCATGTCAAAGGTTTCCGCTAGAAAGGTCCCGAGACAGTTGACTGACGACGCTAGACCCTTTCCAAAAATATCTTTTGTCCCCTTTTCGAGGTGCCCCGATTTTTTTCTACGGATTCCCTAAATTCCAAACATGAAAACATGGGTCCATCACCTTTCCCATCCAGAAAAACCCCCTCCCAAGGGAAAATTTAAGAAAGGGGGCCCCTCAGCTTTTAAATTTTTTTTGGGGTTTTTGGCCCCAAAATTTTTATTGGGCTGTCTTGAGCAAAAGGGCGTTTTTATAAACGGAGGACATCTCGCCAAGAAAGCCCCGGGGTTAAAAAAAGGGCAAACGATCAAAGCTTAGTTTGGTTGACTGACTACCGGAAGTACATTAGGTCAAGAACTTTTGATCAATCCTGTACACTAACACTCGATACATTATATAGAGAAATTAAGAATCCCTAAAGAAAAGCAAACACGGCAAAATTGAAAATGTTGCTGGCTCGGTTTGATTGAGCCTGTTCATGGACGGTACTGTCAAGTACAAATTACCGTCCATGCCCCCTAGCACCGGCTTATCCGCAGATGTGTTCATATGGCGGTCATCATGGGACCTTCAATGTGACACGTAAGTGCCATTCATGAAAAGCGGCATATGGTCCCCAAGTAATAATTATGTGTGTGCCCTAAACGAGAAAACAATGGGCGGAACATTATATGCCCAACGTTATCTTTGAACATAAAGATGTATGTGTTAAACCACATCACTGAATATGATCAACACTAAGTATTGTAATCGCCAAAGACGCCCAAAATGTAATGGTTTGTATTTTTTCAATCCTCTCATAAAAAACGCAATGGGAAAACAAATTCGATTAAAAATATAATTTTTGTTTTTCGCCCACATGATATAAACCTGCATTACATTAATAGGAAATGAATATAATCAGTTACCAAATTTACGGTTATTTCACCAACTTTTGAAGTGTGTACCTGTTTCTATTTTTTATATAAAAGTACATCCTTTATCATAGCATGGTGTTAAAGCAATACATGTTTTAATAGAGAAACTGAAGAAAACAGTTTACGTGATGATCGTTCCTTAAATAAGGCAAATGTTTTGTATTGTTTGATATTGCTGTTGAAGTTGAATACATCAACAATTCTCTTGTGAGACTCTGTTGTAATTCTCTCTCTTCCTAGCAGTCACTTTGACTTAATACGGAGATATATAAATGTCACTTATATTTTGGGTAGAATATTTGTCATCTCGGACAAGTAAATGTTTAAACATCCTTTAAAGCTAATGATTGAAGTAAGATTGCTTCATCTGATTCTGTACTCATGATTTACTATTGCTGGTGTCCATTTTAGAACAATTGTCGTACCGCAATAAGTGATCGTATTAATGATTTACCTTTATTGGCGTCCGCGCCGAAGCGCGGCGCCTTTTATGGAATGAAATCAGAATTTGTGAAAGGGCGACAGCATATTCTCGAGCCTTTTATAGTTGTTCATAATAAAAGCCGATCATTCCGATCGGTATGAGGGTGCTTGATTATTAATTAGTTGCGATATGTACAATGAATAGCGAACTGGAGAATTTCGCAATGCAAACATTTTCAAATGAAATAACCTTTTCCGTCAATAAATCGCGCTCTTCGGGGTATTTTTATTTATCATTTTGTAGTACACAGTGGGTTATTATGGTATATTTTTTTTCCGAAAAGCTGTAAAAAGAATGATGATTTTATAAACCCAAAATTTTTCCCAAAAACTATTTAAATGGGATGTACTCCTATCGGGTTAAATTTCCCCGGGTTCCCCCTGGTCATTTTTACCCCGGATTTCTAGTGACCGGGGGAATTTGTACCACACGTTTAATTGTTTCCCGGGTTTCCCCCCGGTTTTGGAGTAGAGGGTTTTATAAACGTTAAAAACAGAAAAAATAAATTTTTTCAGATAAAAGTTTTTTTCCCAAAAAAATTTTTTTCACTTTGTTTGGGTCAATAATTAATTAAAAACAAATCACTCCAAATTTATTGGGTTATTTTTATACATAAACAAAAAATTCGGAAAAAAAACAAAAAAACGCATGTTTTATTTTATTAAAAGAAAAAACAAAAACATGTGCAATAATTGAGAAAAAAATGTACATTTTATGGCATTAATATGACACTATCAACTTAGAAACATTTTATTTAATTTGTTATTCGTGTTTAGTAAAGATTCCGAGGAATTATTCAAAGTTACAAATCAATTTTATGAATTATTCAATTGATTGATAATTTAAAAAAATGATAAAGAAAAATACAAATGTACATGTATATGGTTTAAGAATAATTAATATTATATATTGAAAGATTAACCATAATTTATTGACGTTTTCCAGTTAAGTTTTGACTTATAATCGTCGATCAATATGACAATTGAATTCTTAAAATAGTAGTAAACGTAAAAACTCAGTATTAAAATAGCGCATAAAACACAAAAAGAAAAGAAAACAGTATTCATCAAATCTGTAATTTTTTTTTATTAAAATAGATATTACAATTATTGTATAATAAACAATTATGCTCAACATGATCAACATGGTAATATAACAAGTGTCATATTGTTACTAAGTGTGAACAGATACCTTAAGAGGGGAGGGGGTCTTCGCTAATAGCGATAACATAATAAGGGACAATTACACAAGTGTGGTGTTGATCATGCGTTACACATATGGATTATAAATGATTGTATACATGTATATCCGTTGCTATTAATAACCACGATCATAAAGAAAAAACAAGTAATATTCTAATTTCTAGCATGCCAATCAAAGTTATAAATAATGAACAATGTCTTTAGTCCGTTCATTCATAAGTTATATACAATTCTGGTAAAAACCAATGAACCATTGAAAAGTTTATAAGAATATCTTGTCATCATATCTACTAGTTCATCTGCACCTGCTGCATTTCTTGCTTGGACGCCCTTTGATGCTTTGCATCAATGCTTTTCTTGTATCTATATTGTATCAAATCAAATACACATTTTGCATGAATCGCAAAACCGTTTTAGACCTATCGGAGTTTTACGATATAATCATAATTGCAATTATTAACTGCTTTGGAATTCTTTCCTATTTTCTTTTCAGTTTGTAAACATATGAACACCGGCATTTTCATGCTTTTCGGCCAAAGAAGCATAGAGTCTAGTAACATCATTGAAGCATACACCAAGAAGTTCCATGTACCTTATGTGTCGCCTAGTTTTGCCGATAACGTGCCTCGTGATCTCCCTACCTACCAGCTCCACATGCGGCCTTCACATTCTAGAGCTCTTGTAGATCTCATCCTTCATTATGGCTGGAGGACATTCCATTACGTGTATGATTCAGAAGAAGGTAAGAAATTAAATAAATATTCATTTATCCTTAGTCATTTACAAACTTTAATATATATATGAGAATGACAAAAGTGAAGTTAGGTATTTGCGTTAATCATTTTATTGTTAAAACGTTGTTTTGCTGTTTACAGCGTTTTGATTCCTTACAATTGACATATGTCCATCATAGATAGTTGCAATATTGATTTTCACGGACTAGATTATTAGCTACCCCAAGTTTATATAAAAAATCTCTACCTACGAGCAAACCCTTGACATGATCATCTCTTATAAACTAGTTCTTTTGCGTATATATGGTCATTTCAGCATGTTATTACGTGTTGCTGTGCAAAATACCACCACAATCGGCTGAGTATTGTCAAATGAGCTTTGTCAATGTGAAGTCAGTAATTGTACAAACTCCTCATGAATTGAGCACACACATTACAGCAGTCATTAATCTGACACGATATTGTTTGGATTATTTTGTTTAAGCTTTTAATCAAGATGGATGTATTCCTTTTATTCCTTTTCTGTCATTCCTATTTCAAAGATTGCCAATTCTTGATATTTAAGAATTTGAAACAGTGGTAAACAACGCAACGCAAACCGTTTAACGAAAGTTTGTTGATTTCAACAACAACATCAGGTTAATAAAATAAAAATTGAACTTTATTAAATGAAATAAAGGAGTTATTATTTTATCGTACTAATGGGCAAATAAATAAGTACGAAGATAATTATATCCGCCGGTAAACACCAGTAATATGCACACACTTCACAAATTTGACGATTAAGAAAACCACAGGTATTTAAAAATTAATAAATCTATGTTGTCAGCTGCAAATTATTCCTGTTTTTGAACTCATTCCTTTTGTACAAGAACATGAAACATTACGCGTGAATACAAATACAAGTGCGATTTTTACTATTATTCTGATTATTCTGAACAGTGACAGCCTTTAACTCTGAAATGGGAGGAGGGTATAAAAAATTTAGATAACGAAATATAATTTATCACTAAATATTTTTGCAAGCTGATATATTCCTTCAACGTGTTGGTTTTACAGAATTTATGTTACCAATATAAGTTTAACCTAAAAGAGTAATACGCGACAAAACAAAACATAATGTATTTGAGTTCGATTGTGTTGGAAGCGTAAAGCTTATAGACACACACTCGGATACGTTCTTGGAACCAACCAGTACTGAGCAATGAGTTTGAAGTTTCTTCCTTAAGGAAACAGCGACTTGAAGGTGTTTGATCCCATGCGGACAGCGATCCTCAGATTTCTGGTCCGACGCAATAATTACTCGGCAATGCCGCCACACAAGAGGACTCAAATAAGACCAGTATTGTTAAATGCACATGGAACCAAATTGATTCTTATCCCTTCCAATTGATCTTAAATAAACCCAATGTCTCTTATTATACAATTACAGGTTTATACCGCCTGCAAGAAATTTTGAAAATATTTGCTGAAAGCAGGTATCTCGTTCAAGTGCGAATGCGGCGACTGTTAGATGTACGGAGCGCTCATGAAGATTTAAGGGCACTTGACAAGATGGAAGAGCCAGATAACAGTTCTGAGAAATACATCGTTCTAGACCTGTCAAAGGAAAAACATTATCACACCATTTTACAGCAGGTAAAATCCTAGTAAAATTCTTATACAATAAACATTTTAGAATGTTTTCAAGACAAGTGTATTTTGCAAACAGTCTTTTTTAAAAGTTTTAAGGTTTTAGAGCAATTTCATTAACTTAACTATATCTATTTGATAATTATCTTTTTAGCATTGTCTTGACGTGCTTTGAATATGCACTGAATGCACTGTTCAGTGCAATACAAGTTCCGAATCATTGACTTTAGCACTTTTAAGTGCTAGGGATCGTGATAGAATTTGCACTTATCATCAATCAAAACGATTCTGCAATTTTCATGCACTTTTGTTGTGATTATTGCTTCCGAGGGATCACGCTTTATCCAGGTTTTTATTATATTACAATAATGTAACTGTTGTAGACACATAATCGACTTATGATTTCAGATCCGCGAGGTAGGAATGAACAAACACGGATACCACTACATTTTAGGAACTTTGGTATGTAGCTCAATACTCATTTGTTAAACACATAATTTGTTTAAAAAACAAAAGTAGCATAAATATCAAAAATATAAATGATAAAATATTTCAATGTTCGACTGATGATTGCATTTTGCTAATTGTATGCTTATATTTATATCACATAACGTCATATATATTTAAGTGGAACTGTATGTTGAATACTTGTCCAATTTATCATTTTAGAAGATATTAGCTTTAGTTTGTTTAACTTGGTAAGGACGTTGTCCATGGCTAGTACGTTTTACCATATAATTTTCGGTCATGAGGTAATAGTCATTGACATTTGATGTGGATTCCTTTCTAATCAATAACACCCTTCCCTAAAAAAGACAATTATTTGGTATTCATAGAAACTATACATTGTTCATGACGAACTATATATTTGTTTGAAAGCGACATTACTTATAGTTTTAGATGTGATAATTTTAATCATATTATGATCATTACGCCAATATTACGCTTAAGGTCTATGTAAATTGCATACTTATGTGAGTTTTATACTGTAAGGGCAAATGAAGTGTGAGGTAATACGTGTCCAATGGACACATTTCTGGTTTAGATAGTTTATCACGTTTGTACTCAACATTTATTCTTTATCTATTTATACAGGATTTTCTTATATTAGAAACTGAACGATATCAGCACGGAGGAGTAAATATAACAGGTTTCCAGCTGGTAAATTATACTGCACCATATGTTAAAAAGTTTTTGGAAATCTGGAAGACTCTAGATCCAAATATCTGGCCTAGCGCAGGAAATGACAGTGTTCCGGTAAGTTTCTGTCTTAACATATCTGTCATTTGTAGACAAAGAGTGCCGACATATCGTTTTTCCTTCCATGTATATGTACTGTACTAAACATTTGTTTAAAGCTTCAATCATTCTTTTGATTCAAGTTTTAATGTTGTTTTCTATTAAGAAACTTAAAGGCAAAAGCTGTTTTATCGTAGATCGATTTACCTGGAGAAAAAACCTCAAGAAGTAATGCTTGATATGCAAGGCAGGATAAATAAATTGTTAAAAGTATTCAAACTATTATTTCATTTCAAATTTTAACAATCTTTATTGAAAATATATTTTCTTGTTTTTCAGATAGAAGCAGCTTTAGCTTACGACGGCATACAAGTTATCCACAAAACTTTAGCAAAACTTATAGCCAAGGAAAGGAAGATTTTTAAACATACATTTAGACATGGGGACGTTTATAATAACAATAAAACAAAAGGTGTTCCGTGTGAGAGCAATGATCCTTGGATGCATGGAAAAGCTATAATGGCTGAAATGAGAAATGTAAGCATAGTATAAGAAAATTTAAATTTTAAAAAGAATGCTTAACGAAAATGTAACCTGCATAGTGGAGCTAATAAATATTTCAATCCTTCTTTCTCGTAAGTATCTTTATATCGTTGTGTTTTGATGATTTGTCAGTTTTATCTTGAATACATTTATTCGCGGAACTAATTTTAATAATATAAAGTATGAGATATTGTACTTTCCTGACAGTGGTCCTGAACTATTTTCCTGTTTTCCAGCTACATTTCGATGGTGTAACGGGAAATATTCAATTCAGTGAATACGGATTTAGAAAGAACTACAATTTCGATGTGTACAATGTGGGTCTCAATAATGGTCCTTACAAGGTGAAATATTTTACTTAAAATGTTTTTGAAACGAACATGAATTTTGTGTACATTCTATGATTCATGACTACTTTGTTGCGAATCTAATATTTTGTTGGATAATGTATATAATGTATGATACTAATAACCAATAGTTGAACCATTAAAACTATCCATGACTGTTAACTATATCTGGTGCTTCATACTTTTATTTGCGATATATGGCCACTAACTAATACACATATACAGCGTCTACATTCAAACAATACATTATGTGAATGACGGGACAAGTTCTATAGTTATTAAATTCATATAAATCATTATTATCAATTCTAAATATACGACTTTAACAATGCTATTAGGTAACAGTTTATGAAAACATGCAATTAAAACAATTAAAAAGAAAACGTTTCATGAGAGAAGGCTTGCCAAAATGGATTGGATTTGCAAATAAAATAACATTATTGATTCAGCTTATAATGAATGATGCATATATGCTTCTTGCCAATTTTCAACATTGTTATGAAATGTTTTGCAAAAAAGTGACTATTTTTATTTCTTAAAGATCCTGTAATACATTTTTATGGTTTTATATCATTAATATGATGCTCAAATTAAGATTTATCAATTTTGTAAGTTCCAAAAAGCATTATTAATAAAGATATTACCGAATTTAACATTTCATGTAAATAAAAGGGGGGTAATAAAAACTATATTTTCTATAAAGTCTTAGTCAAATTTTTCAATAAAAAATGAATGCATAGTACATATTTTACATATTCTTCGATGTTTGAAAATTGTTTTATCAGCATAATTATATACATATAATTTTATATAATTTCACTTAATTGTGGTATACAACCTCAATTACAACGTACAGGATCTTTAACGTTATAAATATATCCCACTTAAAAAAGAAAACAAAAACACATTATTTACAATCAACCCATTACTCTATCTCATAAGCAGCTTTTAGATATAAAAACTTCATTTTTTAGATTGGAAAATGGGAAACAAGAGGGGGTGTATACAGGGATGGTGAGGAGTACCAACCGGAAGTAAACACAACCGATGACGTCAGCGTATTCAAAGTAACATCAATTCAGGTGATTCAAATATTTAAGATATTCAAGAGCTCTAGGTCGGTTATAAAAATTATTGCATGTTAACATTATATGAATTAAGAAGAAAAGTATAAAGCAAATGAACGTTACTTGTTTTGTTAGAAACGGTACACTTACTAAACAAAACGACCTATCGGCTCAACAGATTCAGTATTTTATAATTATTGTTTTTTTTAAATTGCACGCACACGACTGTGGTCTTGTTTGTCAAAGCATTAAAATACTTTTTACACATTATTTATCAATGACGTGAACAGAAAAATTGTAAAATGTTCTCGCATGACATTAAGATTAAGTTCCTTCTGAGAAATTGTTGAATGTTTAGATCTATCATAATTGACTATGTTTTTAAATGATCATATATTTGCATCATAGTTAATCCAATCAAAACAAAACAGATTATCATTGTGAGATGCACCTTGTTTGCTTTATTTGTTATTGGTGTTAAATGCACTTTTGACACATTGAAATATAAACCCTATTTGATTACAATAAAAGGGATTAGTATCTTTTTACCATACAAATTATTATAATACACGTATAATTATCAAAAATTAGAAACTTTTTCATCATCAGTGTTCTTCCTTTGCATTACTAATGTATGTATGTTTAAAATATAAATTTGCTAAGATAAGCGTTTTCGACGATTTTAAGGTACCTACAAAATATACACATGGGTATTCTTATTTAAATATCATACCACGCTTTTCTAAATGAACGAACGATAAAAAGACACTCAATACTGGATACAGTATACAGTATTTTGTGTATTCAGTTAACACTATTTGCACAGGTATGTTGTACTTTTTTCTTTATTCTTTACTCACTTTCTTGCACAGTTTATTATAAAGTGTGTCTTATAACATTGTATTTAAACATTGTCAATTACTTACTATTTCATATTGTGTATTTACTAATTATGTAAACAACTGCTGCTCGGGCGTGCCATTTTATGTGCTCTGTGTAGTTTTATTTGACAAAATAAACGAACTCATTTGTTTCTGTATTTATGAGCAATTAAATGTATGACGTATCTTAAGTCTTAAACATTTCTGAGTTCAGTCTCATTTATTACAGGAAGACTTAACTTACAACGTAAGTCAAGACATCACGAAAGACGACAGTGAAAACAATATTAACAACGAGACTGATTCGTACATTACCCTCGATGATTTGGATAAATATATAGATCTTGATAATAACTATGATCAAGAATATAACATAGAACGTGAAGGAAGTGCCGAAGACGACGCTGACTATAAATTAAGTGAAGAATATGTGTATGTTATAGTGAACAAAAAGGAAGTGGACCTTGATATTAATATCACAGAGATAGACGTTGATTCTAGTGATCATTTTATAGTTCGAGAAAAACATTCACTCGATTCCAAAAGTTCAGATTTATGTAAAAGTTGTATATATGTGCACATCGTCATCAGTATATCTGTTAAGTTCTTTAAATCATATCATGTTTTGAACTGATTTGAAAGTGACCTTTAACTATGCTTTGAGCACTGCATTAAATGTGGATTGATCACTTGCTTGTCATACAGAATTCTATCAACATGTAAATAGATTGTTTTTGGAAATATGTTTTGACTTTTTATTTTTTTTATTTAATGTATGTTAAGTTTTATAAAATTATGAAAGCAACATACTTGCTGGATTGTTAATTGTCGGTATTTAACAATGAATTGAACGCTTTATGATGATTGTGGTGAACGCGGAAGACACTAAAGTTTAGACAATTTAGAGGTTACATATTTGTCTTCTCAAATATATAAGCGCTGACTTACTTTATACGAGGGTTGTTCAAAAAGTAATAGGACTGCAGCTCTACTGTTCACATTTTTTAATTTACGTTACGTACATAATTTTACAAGAAACAAATATCGGAATATGTTCTCTATATACAGTGATAAAATCATTACAAAATGTTTACAAATAACAGTTCCGTAAAATTTTCAAATGACAAGGGGTACAACGTCCGGAGCATGCTGACAATACAATAAATGACGCTCATGACGTCGTTAACTAAATACAAAATATAACAAGAGTCATCGATCCTGAAAGTGCTCTCCCTAGTGCTCTAGGTGTGTGAATTATGTGACCATGATCAGGTGCCATATGTGGAGATTAGGCGAGAAAGAAAACGATTACAATTTCGTTTAACTCTCAAAGGAAAATGGCCGATAGCCTGCCATTCTCCACTTTTCTCAAATATTTTGAGTAAACTGGAAACTCAACAAGCATGGACTTATAACGATTATGCAAAAACGATTTGTATTAGTAATCTTCACAAATATAAACAAATAATAATATACGGTAAAATAACAATATTTATCCATTGAAAAGTATTATTTATTAAAACAAATTTGGGGATAAAACAACTTACAAAGACCGTAAATCATTATTATATTAATTTATTAAAACCAAGTATAATTAATGAGATACAATAAAACAGTGTTTGATAGAAACGTCGTATATACAATCCTTTGGTGAGAACTGAGTACGCAGACCCAAAGCAGACATAAAAAGTGTCGGACAGTCCGCGTACCGTTTACCATCGATCCACAGCGCTTTTGCAATTGACGTCACAAACGTCCTGTCAATTTCCCGCTCTCATCCTCACACTTTCTTGTGAAAGATTTTGTATACGCCGTTTCTAAATTGATTGTACCAGCTGAGAACGAGTGTCCTTATTGCAGGATAATTTTTCTTTCTTAATTTTATCATTTTGTATGTATCTGAAAGAATATTGCCAATTGATTGGCACAATTTAACGATGACACGAATTTCTGTTTGTTACCGAGTACCATATTTCTACATTTAACGCTATGACCACAGCTGTTCAAAACTAAATAATTATGCCCGAATGACGTCAAATTTAGATATGACGTAACTTAAATATACATAAATTTGTTGGTGAAATAAATGGACAAACAGAGTATAAATTATGAATAAATTAGAAGTACAACTTAGATCCAATAACTATTTTGATGTGCTGCGCCGGCTGTGTGTTACCATGGTTATTCAATATCACAGGAAACGCGCGTTCATCACAATAAATTAATAAATCTATGCATAGATTGTACAAAACATTGTACGATCCCTATACATATGAACATATTCTAAATTGGATGAAATATGAATATGCAAGACTCTCAGTCCTATTACCTTTTGAACAACCCTCGTACATATGCCAACATCTGTTTTATTTATCGAAACAATACTGATTATGTAAGCTACATGAATGAATAAAATTAAAAAGTAATGTTTTTGTTTTACTTTTTTATAAAAAAAATAGAATTAATCGTAAGTAATAATTGAACCAGAAAGGGAACAGTGAAACTAATCTCCCTTTCGGTCTAAAAATAAAGGACTGATAGTTTGGCTTTGTATAGATATGACATTATAATTCTCTCTATTTTTGCATCAAATTGTTTGGCAAAATACCAAAATTACATATTTTACAGGACGAACCTTTTCTCATGCTAAAAGAGGAGATTAAAGACGGTAAACCACGTGTAGGAAATGACAGGTATGAAGGTATGACACAGGTCATTGTTTTACAACTTAAGTTATATATATACCAATTATCAGTAAATATTATACATGTATTAGCAAATCTATGTTTAATTCATGTAATTTAATCAAACATCTACGGGTTTCACAATATAGGATAACTGAAATATTAATATGGAAACGACATCATTGGCGTCAACGTAAATAAATACAAGGGACTCCACTTAGTAACGTCAAAACTCATTTGTTGTATGTTATACAATTTAATTCATTGTTTTTACATAGAAAGTTATTATTAAATTGCAAGGATTAAATCGTAGCGGAGGAAATACTTTTCGATATCTTATTAGTTTTGCTGAATTATACAATCATAAAAGAAAGAAATTGCTTAACAATCTTAACTCAAACAATAGTCTATTAATAATTTGTTTTCACAAAGAGCAAGTAACTGAATTCATAAACTACTCTGAATGTGTTATGAACGAAAGGTTCCGATTTGCTTTTTTTACTGTTTTCTTTTATAAAACAGACGAAACACTTTTCACTTATTTTTACAGGTTTTTGTGTGGACTTGGCCAATATGGTAGCTGCACGTGTTGGGTACGAGTTCAAAATAAGACTAGTGAAAGATAAAAAGTATGGTGTTAAAGTTAAAGATAAAAACAACGAAACAGTTTGGAACGGGATGATTGGAGAGCTTGTAAGAAAGGTATAAAATGCGCTTGCTAGAAAATATCTTTAATACAATTTCATAAATTTAATCATTTCATTCATAACATTTGATTAAATGTGTTAAACGTATCTTCGTTTTTATAGACATTTTCAGAGTTAAGTTAACAATGCAAATTAGAAATAATAATAATAATAAAGACTTTATTTAAAGAGGCAACATAGTTAGGCATGTCCAGTCTTTTAAATGAGCCTCGATCATGTATACAATTTACATAATGTAAACATATACAAACGATAAACAACAGCAACATTACAAATACAATCTAAATGGAATATGAATAAAAATGTTTTAGATCGTGTTAATATTTTTTTTCGTATATATTGAAAACCAGGATAATATCATTATATTTTATTTTCATTTCAAAAGAAATCATCCTGAATTAGAATCCAATGCTATATTCACATTATGTCATAAGTTCTTCCTTCTTAGCATCTTGTTGATGTACTAACACACTAGCGTTACAAAAACGTAACACATTTATGACGTGTATAAAGCTATAAACTGCGATTGATTAATATCTTCTCTCATATTGGTAAAAAAATTGATTTTTATTTTGAAAAAAAAAAAGAATATTTGCAAAATAGTAAATACATCTATGAAAGAAAAATGTTTATATCTTAATGGCATGTGCATCATATATCTGATAAACAATTAAAAGCTTACTTAAAATAGCAGCATGTTTTTTATTCATGAACATCTTACTCTGTTTACATATTACGATTTGCATAAATGTTAATAAATAGATACATGCATCTCTTTGAAGAATCAACGTAATTTTAGAATGTTAGAATTGTTTGTAAAACATTTTCATAAGATACAGTCTTTTAAAGTTGAGGAAGGGACAAGAATTGTGATTCATATCGTGTCTTATTCAAACGTTTATTTTGACTTATAAACATTTTCAAACATCTTATGCATTTTAATTAGCCTTACATTAAATTTGTTACAGGAAGCGGACATTGCTATTGCTCCATTATCAATAACAAGTGAAAGAGAGGGTGTTGTTCATTTCTCCAAACCATACATGGACGTTGGTATAAGTATAATGATTAAGGTAAGACTATATTGTGATATAATTTGCTCTAAAGAAGAAGCAAAAACACAAATCGGTTTTTATTAAACTAAATTTTAACTTTCAATTTTTTATAAAATGTAATTAATGTTTGTTAATATTAAACTGGAAAAAGGCTGTCTTTGCAGAAAATGTTTATTTAAACATTTAGGGAAGAAATGAGATTTTCTGTTGAACAGAAGTAATTAAATGTACTCTAAAACAATAGATATACTAGATACAGTTGATGTCTGATTTACTGTCTACATTTACGGGGCGGGACTCGTTTTGTCTGATATACTGTCTACATTTACGGGGCGACTCGTTTTGGTTTGTAAGGAAAACAATATAAGGATTACAAATCTTCCAAAACAAAAAAGAAAAATAAACACAAAAAAAACATACAAACAGCTGATATTTGCAAACTTGTCTTATCTTCCTTTATGAACAATGACTTTCAGAAACCGGACAAGGAAAAACCAGGTGTCTTTTCATTCATGCAACCGTTCACGTGGCAATTCTGGATGTGCATAATATTCGGTTATTTCTCAGTGGGGATTGGCATCTTTATTGTTAGCAGATTTAGTTCGACTGAGTGGAGAAAAATCACTATGAACAGAAAGATGACATATAATAACTTTACGCTTTCCAACTCATTATGGTTTGCAATGGGTTCTTTGATGTTACAGGGAAGTGACGACACGTGTCCAAGGTAAAATGTTTTGTTAATATATCTGCATTATTTCCCGCGCTATTTTTTTCTTTCTTTTTTGTTAAATTATAGTCTATCAATATGGACAGGTTATAAAAGTTGTTAATGGTTCGAAATGACTGTGCTGTGTGCTGATTTTCCTTTATTCTTATAACCGACAAGTATTTATTCATTTACTTTGAGATTAAAACTGTCAGGTATTTTGAATTCCTCTTAATGTGTTTACTTGATTGAAAACATTTATAATAAATGTTACATTATACAGTGTTTTGATTTATTATATAATCTGTAAATTTACCACAGTTTCCATAAATAATTACCTAGGTTTCCGGCCTGTCTGAAATTCAGGGATGTATTTTTAATGAATACATATCCGGAAACAAAGTGATCCCTCAGAAGCATTTATCAACAAAATTACATGAAAATTTCAGACTCAGTTTAATTGAGTCTGTACATGAGGGAAAATGCATAAGTGCAACATCCCTCACGCCTCTAGCACCGGCTTGAGCGGTACACACTTCTGAACACTTAATAGTGCTAGAATCAAGCTTTTAAACAATTTTTATATGTAAGTCTTTATTAGAGACATTTGTATTCCTGTTATGTTTACAGATCAGCCTCCGGTAGAATTATAGGAGGCGCCTGGTGGTTTGCTTGTTTAATTACGATATCTTCATACACTGCGAATCTCGCCGCATTTCTCACTATAGAAACGTTATCGACACCAATAGAATCAGCGGACGAACTTGTTAAACAGAGTGAAATAGCATATGGTACATTGAACTCGGGCTCAACTCAAGATTTTTTTAAGGTACCATCAAAATTTTATTTATTCATCAAAGTATATGCATAATGAATTACATAATATATGATTTTAGATAAATTTCATGGTATGCAGAATAAAGATCAAAATTTATTTGCATTACACCGTTACATAACTATTTTATAATGACCGATCGATTTCAAGACTTAAACATTGGGCATGTACAATTGAGAACTTTTTACTTCATATTTACAACTATCACTTTATGATGAATGTCTTGCTCCACAGTAGTTAACACTCCGTTTTTCTCAATTTTTATGTCATATTATGTTTGTTTGCCTTATGCTTTTAGATGATGTTACTTAGTTTTCTTTATTGGTTTCTCTTTGAATTTCTTTCATTTTCTTTATCTTATTATTTTAATATAAAACTAATATTTTGTTCTTTTAATGTAATGAATTTAAGGAGTCAAAGGTCTCAACATATAAACAGATGTGGATATACATGGACTCTAATCCAAGTGTTTTCGTTGAAGATATCGAAGAAGGTATGCTTATCGTTTTTAATGTATATTGAAATAATAAATTACTGGTTTCTTGCAGATCAAGAATGTATTACTTAAACAATAGTATTTCGAGGTCACTGCAGAAATCTTTTTTCAAAGTAAATAAGAACAAAATATTACGTGTTTCGTTTGGTTAAATAGTTTCTTTTTTATCTTTGAATATTGATTTCTACTTTATACAAACTGAGATATTTTATTTATATGGCATTAAATACGTCGAATACCGTAATGATATTTCCTTTTAACCAAATAATTATTTATTTTCTAACGTTATAATTATGTAGATTAATTTCCCCTGCAATTCGGAATGGCATCTCATTTCTAGATGTGTTGTATATGGTCTTATTTTGTAGGGATACAAAGAGTACGTAACTCGAAAGGAAAGTATGCCTTTCTTCTAGAATCAGTTTATAATGAATATGCTAACAATAGGAAGCCCTGTGATACAATGAAAGTGGGGCACAATCTTAATTCCAATCACTATGGTATAGCTACACGTAAACATTTGCCATTAAGGTAAGTCCGCTAGGCTTGTTGGTTTTCTATTCATATAAATTTAAAAATTGTAATTTTCAGCTGATTTTTATAATAAACTATTTATATATCTTTTTTTGTTTCAAAGATTGCCACTCAATCTGTAAAGATTCTATATCTATCAATTTAATATAAAACACTAAATAGATTGTTGTTACGGTAAAATCAACCATTATTTATCTTTCCTGAAATAAGATTTTTTATAAAAGAATTATTATGAAATATGGTCAAAATAGATATCTTTGCTTTACATTGTATCTATAAATCTTACCTGTTTGAACTTGTACTTAACAATGTATATATTTTTAAAAAGTAATTGTCTATTTCAGAGACGATATAACTTTAGCTGTTTTGAGTTTAACAGAAGATGGTTCTTTAGAAAGATTGAAAAAAGATTGGTGGGAAGTAAAGGGTGAATGTGGGTTCGATACAGGCCACAGGGTAAGCATACATAATTGTTACAAAATTGAAAAATTTCACTTAAACTTGTGTCTGTTAGAACGGTTCCGGCATTTTACCAATATTTAAAAGATATGGACAGCATAACGGGGAAAGTCAATGGGCTACATAGGAGAGATATGTATCACCGGAATTGGTCAATATTTGCCTGGAATATGATGTATATTTACATACAACAAACAAATTAGGTAAATGGCCACGCAATCAACGAACCTGCTTTATTATCAATTAATTCAGTTCAGATCACTATTATACTCAGTCTTGTGCTTAATCATTTTCCGAGGGGTCATTTTTCAGAATCATTAACCCATTCCAAATCCATGAACGAAGAGCTCGATGAAGTTCTGTCAAAATGTCACAAATAGCGGTGTTACAAAGAGTCATTATCTGTTGTTGAGTACAATAATACTTATTTTACTCGGATATGGCCGCAATACCCTAAGTACACTCGGATACCTTCTTGTCTAATATAGCTTAATAGTTTTTGAACTCGTTCATTAGAGTTCATCCATGTATAATAATCTTATATTAGTGTTCATTGAAATAATGCAATGTGATCGAACATTCTGGTTGAATTACTCGTACCAAAATACATTGAAAAAGCAAGAAAAACTGAATAGTTTTTATTATTTTGTTTTTCCGTCTCATGTTAATAGAAAAAGTATTTATATAACTCTCATGTATATTTAAATTATTGTAATGCATCCAAATTATTCTTTGTTAATGCCTAAATAAATAATAACATTTCAGGAATCGAAGAAAAAAAGTTTGTCCCTTAGCAACGTTGCGGGAATATATTTTATCCTCATAGCAGGTTTAGTGTTGGCAATCATAGTTGGTGTTTGTGAATTTATGTATATCAAATCTAAACCTGAAAGAGTGCCTTCAGCTGTAAGTATTTTGTTGTCGATATTGGCTACGTTTTTATGTCATGAAATATGAAACATTTTAACTATATCGATCAGAAAATAATTCAAAAACTAAGCGAGTGTGCATATATAAAATGTTTATGAAAAAATATGAAGAAAAAAGCTATTTTTATAATAAAAAGACTGTTCCACTTTTTGTAAACTTGAAAGCTCCCGATACCCTCTTAACGATATTAATAGAAATATAATTGATTACTTTAGCATTAGTAAAAAATATATATTTGAACACCGTTATAACAATGAAAGTTATTTTTACTTCCATCTGTGCCCCGACTATTTACATGAAGAGGCATAATTTTACTTTAATAAAGTAAAAAGGAAGTTTTCGTTAGTTTTTTACAATTTCAATAAAATATATATTATGATGTCATTAAAAATACTTACAAAATTTATTATTTACACAAGATGATATACATGATGCCTAGTATGGAAACAGCAGACGGTATGGAAGATGATGTACCAGAGGAGGTTAAACAAATGTACATGTCCAATCATAAAGCTTCAAATGGACCTGCCTCTCCTGTTAATGGAAACGCTGGTCACAACAATCATGTAAGGTTCATTGGTAGATTGTCTTAAAATCAAAATGATATATTTCTCATTCGTTTCTGTTGTTTTCCTGATGAAAATAACATTGGTGTTGATATTAATAATTATGGTGTTTAAATTTACTGGTATAGTTGATAATCAGTTACTTTATTCATGATTCAGTTTTTTCCATTTCTACGATTTAAAAAGGATACAGTTAGTGAACTGTGCTGATGCTGAATACTTATATTTTGTTAATGTTGCTGTGTTTTCTTCTTACAGTTAAGATCACATGCAGTTTCCTTATATTCTTATAGTTGATGATGCTGTTTTTTTTGTTGTTGTTGTTTTATGTAAGTTATGTTGTTTTTATATTCTTACAATTAACGAATTATACCGATGTTTCATATTAAGATTTAAGTTATTATGCAGTTTAAATTTAGATATTACGCTTTTTTCGTTTAATTAAGGTTAAATAAAGATGTTTTATTTCTAAAGTTTAGGTATAATGTATACATTTGCTATTTCAGTTTAGGTATGATGCAACGTTCAATCCTCCCCCACGTATAACTTTCGATGCAGATTCAAATACGGCTGTTTGAAAGTGATCAAGGTGCACGTTGTGTTATTCCAATGAACACACGAGGAAAACGTGAACACGTTTCAAATGCAGGTGCTCGTACATCGACACATTATTAAACAAAAAACTATTAACCCAAATGAGACTGAAAGATAGAATAGTAAAACTCTAGGTGCTGATTGTTAAGATAAGTGTGTCCCAATTAAGTAAAACAGTGAAACCTTGCTTGAGTACAATTGTGAAAAATGTGCAAGGAGGAAATAAAAATATTCATGTTTGTTATTTGTGAATTTAACCAGACGAGATTTGTTTGTAATTCCCAAGTGTTGTGATTTTTATTAAATATGCAGAATCTTAAGTGAATTGCACATGCTTTATATTTTAAATGCGCTTAGGACGAAAATGTGTAAATGCTTTATTTTGCTCGCCACAATGTGGATATAAAATATTGTGAATTTCATAAAATTATAGATTACAAATGAAAACAAAACCCTACAAGATACCAAAGTATTAGATATGGCTCTTTATTATTTGTTTTTTTATACAACAGTAAGCATACATGGCGTATTGTTCATACTAAATACATTTTTCTTTGATGCAATATTTAAGCATTATAATTTACATGTGTATTAAATCATATATTCCTTGAAAAAAGTGACTAACATTGTCTAACTAATATTTGCAACAAAATAGTTTCGGTATGTGGTGAGTACATTTGTTGTTAGAAGTGGTAGAAGAAAGTCCTGCTACAAGCATGTTCATAGGCAGGGCAACCTGTTAATTGATCGTCTTGAAATTAATCAATCACGTTTAAAGGGATCATCAGTGAGCAATAAAAATGACTATACTACCATATGGACAACTCTTCAAGGTGTTACATGTTAGAAAGAGATATGTTTCAAACGATTATGAACATTTGTTATATCTCGGAAATTATAAGACGCCTGGTAATGGTTTCTAATCAAATATATTTATATGTAAATTTATAAATGTTTCTATTGTACAAAATCTGCGGGTTTATAATAAAATAACTATATTTCCCAATATATATTGTGTTTTATTATACTTAATCTATTTATATTGTGTTTTATTTTATGCTACAAACGCATCTTTAATGATATCATATTTTTGAATAATTACATTACAGTAATACGTGTAATAACTTGGCAGATTATTACATATTAATGGTACATCCCTACCTTCCGAAAAGTACTCTACTATGTATTGATTTAACATAGCTATAGAATTGACATGCACACGATGCATATTCCATTCTCGGGTCAGTGATTGCAACAGTGTTTTCGTTACGTCACTACAATCCATGGATATATTATCAGGCAGATATATGTTTATAACAATCCACCGATTTATTATGTACAATACATATTTTTCCTTTATTAACCAGGTTTTCAACGAAAACCGGGTTATTGTAATGCCGAAGTCGGCGGGCGGGCGGGCAGGCGGGCGGGCGGGCGTCAACTTTTGGTTTCCGCTCAATAACTTTAGTTTGCTTTGGCCTATTGACACCAAACTTGGTGTATGGATAGCTTATATCAAGAGGCAGCTTGGGATTGCTACCCAGGTGTCTGTGATCAAGGTCAAGGTCACTGTTACTAAAAATAGAAATTCAGTTTCTGCTCAATAACTTGAGTTTGCTTTGACCTATTGACACCAAACTTGGTGTATAGATAGCTTATATCAAGAGGCAGCTTGGGATTGCTACCCAGGTGTCTGTGATCAAGGTCAAGGTCACTGTTACTAAAAATAGAAATTCAGTTTCCGCTCAATAACTTGAGTTTGCTTTGGCCTATTGACACCAAACTTGGTGTATGGATAGCTTATATCAAGAGGCAGCTTGGGATTGCTACCCAGGTGTCTGTGATCAAGGTCAAGGTCACTGTTACTAAAAATAGAAATTAAGTTTCTGCTCAATAACTTGAGTTTGCTTTGGCCTATTGACACCAAACTTGGTGTATGGATAACTTATATCAAGAGGCAGCTAGGGATTGCTACCCAGGTGTCTGTGATCAAGGTCAAGGTCACTGTTACTAAAAATAGAAATCAGTTTCCGCTCAATAACTTGAGTTTGCTTTAGCCTATTGATACCTAACTTGGTGTATGGATAGCTTATATCAAGAGGCAGCATGGGATTGCTACCCAGGTGTCTGTGATCAAGGTCAAGGTCACTGTTACTAAAAATAGAAATTCAGTTTCTGCTCAATAACTGGAGTTGCTTTGGCGTACTGACACCATCTTGGTGTATGGATAGCTTATATCAAGAGGCAGCTTGGGATTGCTATCCAGGTGTCTGTGATTAAGGTCAAGGTCACTGTTATTAAAAATAGAAATTCAGTTTCCACTAAATAACTTTAGTTTGCTTTGGCCTTTTGACACCAAACTTGATGAATGGGTAGCTTATATCAAGAGGCAGCTTAGGATTGCTACCCAGGTGTCTGTGATCAAGGTTAATGTATTTAGTTTTCATGTTATAACTTGAGTTTGCTTTGACCTTTTGACAATAAACTTGCTGAGTGGCAGCTTTGGATTGCTACTTAGAAATCTGGGAGCAAGTTCAATGTCATTTACTTACAATAGAATTTTCAGCTTCTACTCAATAACTTCAGTGTACTTTGACCTATTGATTGCTGTCACATCAAAATTTGGTCGTTGAAAACCTGGTTTTCGTCGCATTGCGGCGCTTCTTGTCTTTTAGTCATACCAAAAAGAATATGTAAGAAACAGTTAAACAAAATAGTGGTAATAGTTAGGGAAATTTTGGCGATCTGTTGACATCATCTTATCCGTTTCAACACAAAGGACAGGATACTCAAAACTAAAACTTTGTCAACCGGACTTTTCTAGAATATTAACCGTTTAAGATAAACTATGCTTAAATTTCATACTAAAAAAATATTGATAATTGCTACACAATTGCTTTGTACTTATGAAATAAATATGTTTTGACTTCACACAAAGTACATATGTTGTGTTTAAAATTCTACACACTATAGGTGATCACAATATGAATACACATGTATAAAAAGTCGTTAAAAGAAAAGACGATTTTTACTTGACCTGTAAATAGGAACGCATCTTTACATATATAGTAAATAAATTTATTTCTTTTATCCGTATGATACCTATTCAGTAGGAATTTCAAAAATTTCAATAAATTTCTGCAATTAAAATAAGGATGATCATAGTTTATCTTTCAGGCAATACACAACAGGAAAACTTATGATATTAAGTTGTTACATTATTTATGTTTATGTTAATGAAAGCTTCCGTCAACGCTCCTGGCACGAGGTAAACAGTTTTCAAGAAACCAGTGGTAGTATCTTATGAGGACATCTAAATTACTTGCGTAAACAACTTCTGAAGTAATGCATATGACTTAAGATATACTACGCTCTTTGGGTTTAACACTTTTATTGCAGAATTTATTGAAGTCTTGGTTATACTTACTGAATATAGCAAAATATGGCAAATAGAATGCACCAACGTTGTTTGGAAAACTGAATTCACAATTACAGTTTAAATCATTTGGTCTTTTCTAAAAAACCTAAGAGTGCTTTTATTACACACTATTCACACAGTGTGAATTAAAAAATTATCTTCTTTGTATACGCTAGCATGTATATTTTACAAATAACAAGAGACTGTATGGCAATCATCATATAGAACTTTATAACTGCTTCAAGAATGTTTAGAAAGAATGCTTGTATGAAATAAATGCTGCAGTAAATTAAAAGCGAATTGCCATGCACAAAATCATTGCTAAACGGATAATCTCTATTTAAATGTGTGTTAAATTACGAAGATCAACGCAGTAAAGGTCATTCGACGAATTTTCCCATTTTATTGGTGGAGGTAGATCTCAGTTGCCCCTCTGTTCTTTATTTTAAGCATAAATCGCCATCTGAGAAGAACCGCCGACTTTCCGTTAACTGGATGTCTTTCTAATGAGCAATCCGAAGACGCTGATCTACATCGTCACGGTGCGTAATCGTTCCGGGCTGATTTGGAATATTTCCCCGTTCCTGAACTGAACCGGATTGATTCAGATAAATTGGATTTTGAGCTTGACAAGGTAAGAAAATATATAAAATAAACATATTTTAAAACTGTTAGTCTTTGAATATTCTAATTGCACGGAACATTGCAATGTTGAAGGAATTCATATACAACTTTATAAGGTTTGTTAACGGTCTTTTATCAGTTTGAATCGAAAAACAAATTTCACATGTCAGTGAAGAAGTCGTTAACACTAGGATATAATTGCCAAAATAAGTCATTATCATCCTTATTTTTTCAGGTATTTCATGATTATATTATAGAAAAAATCATTCCGCAATAATTTAGTGGTTTTTAGTAAAATGATTTGTCCGGTAATGAGTTTGTAGGACGTAAGCCTACAATCAGCGCTTTGCCTTGTTTTCCTTAATACGAATCAATCCGGTGCCCTAAAAACAAATTATGAGGTTGTCATAAAAGTACGTCCTACAAATTCATTACTGGACAAAACATTTTACTAAAACAGCTAAATTATCGAGGAACGATTTTGTTCTATAATATGATCCTGAAATCTCTGAAAAATCAAAGATAATAATGACTTTTTGGCAATTTTATGCTAATGTGTACTACTACTTCACTGACATGTGAAATTTGTTTTTCGATTCCAACTGACAAAAGACCGTTAACAACCTTATAAAGTTGTATATGAATTCCTTAAACATTGCAATGTTCCGTGCATGTAGACTATTCAAAGACTAACAGTGGTAAATATGTTTATTTTATATATTTTCTTACCTTGTCAAGCTCAAAATCCAATTTATCTGAATCAATCCGGTGAAAAAAATCCAAATCAAATCAGGAACTGGGAAATATTCCATATCAGCCCGGAACGATTACGCACCGTGATCGTAGAGATGTTAGTGAAGTCAATGACCTTAACCGGCCACGCCTTTATCGAATATTTTCATAACCGATGGAAAAGAATCTTAAGAATGTTTTTGTGCATTGATTTTTAAGAAAAAGGAAATTGGAAAACATATATATCATCATTTTTTCTAAAATGCTCTTTGCTCACAAAAAGGAACATGCGACACATTTATGATTCCCTCCCGAACACACAAGATGTTAACAGCAATTCTATTGTCTCAGAAAATAAAGTTAAAGTGTTTAATATTTAAGAACAATGTTATAAACAGGAACATAGATAAAAGATCGAGTATCATCACCCGGTATTAATATATTATATAAAATAAAAACTATCCACGACTATCGAAGTTTTTATTCCATATCTAAACAAGAAAAGCATTGATGCAAAGCATCAAAAGGCGTCCATGCAATAAATGCAGCAACTGAAGATGAACTAATAGACATCTGATGACTTGTATAATAGAATTGAATTGTATATTATTTATGAATGGGTGGAAGAGATACATTGTTCATCATGAACTTTGGTAGGCATGCTAGAGATAAGAATTTTTTTAACAGGCACTTGAAATGCTATCAATAATAACAATAATATCCAAAATATACAGGTCTATAATATCCAAAGTGCAATAAGTTGTTTAAATATGTTTCATTTTCCATATTTCATTTCCTGCAAAATTCTCCAGTTCGTTATTTATAACCATAGCTCAACACGAATGACCGTTTCGTTAAACTAAAACTACCTCTATAAATAGATTTTCGGAATTTTACAATGATAAGGTCATCATTCTATGCATAGGTACAGCAATACAACCCACTTTAAGTATTACAAAATGATTAATAAAAAAAACCCGAAGAGCGCGATTAATTGACGGATAAGATAATTTCGCATTGCAAAATTCCACAGTTCGCTATTCATTGTTCGCGACATTTCATTTTTGATTATTAAATACCCTCATACCAATCGGAATGATTGGCTATTATGACCGACGACATGGCCCGAGAAGTTGCTGCCGCCCTTTCACAAAATCTGATTTCATTCCATAAGGGGCGTCGCGCTTCGGCACGGACGCCAATAACTACACATTGTAAAAAACA